CAAATCCTCATTCTATTCCAATTTCTAATCCCAATCCCACTGATCCTAACTTGACTATCCAAAATTCGTGTTTCAATCATCCTGGGTCTAGAAATCACCGATATTGGTATTATCAATATTTCGATTCTTACAAAATCCGGGAAGAACGTATTCCTTCTCGTCAAGCTATGTTAGCTATCGATTTTAAATATCTTCCCATTTTACAAGAATGGAAATTTGATAAACTATTTGATCTTGAACCCATCGTTTACCATCAACTTGTTCGTATATTCTACTCTAATGCCGTATGTGTTAAGAACCAAGCTGAAACCGAAACCATAGGAATTCGTTCCTACCTCCTAGGACAATTTTTATATATTGACCCGGCATATATAGCCAATACATTTGGATTAGATAATGATGGTATCTCGAATGAAAAACAAATTTTAGGTTCTCGTTATAAAAGAAGAGATAGTGCGAATGTTTTAGACCTACATGAGCGTTTTCTTCATCTAATGATTTCTTGGTGGTTTCGACCATCCGGAGGTCGTTATTCTACTCTTAGAGCTTTGGATCTTTGGTGGTTACATTGTTTCGAAAACCGTATTAAAATTAACCTACCTCAGATTATTTTTGCTGAAATTGTTGAAACCGTAAATCTTGTTCCTAACAAGAAACACTGTTCATCTCTAGTTTACGGTTGCTTTTTGAGTAATCTGTTTTCCAAAGCTGGGCTTAGAGTCGGTCTAGATGCCGTTTTTCCTCTTAAGAAACAAATAAATCTTCTTTCCTTAACGAGAGCGGGATGGGTAAAGGACAAAGAAACCGGTGAATGTGTTCGTTCTTCTACTCCGAGAGCTAGTTCTTCACAAGCTCCACCCGAGGCTGACGAAGATCCCGAGTTTGAACAATTAATGAGGGATATTGATGAAGCTGAAGAATAATCTGAACAACCCGAAGAGCAGCCCGAGGAGCAAGCACAACAAACGCATCAAATGCCTCCATATTTTCAATCCTTTATGGAGACATTTGATTTCCGATACGCTACCATGGACTTGCGCTTTTCCTCTATAGAGTCTCATTTATCCACAATGGGAGCTCAACAATTAGAGATTCTTCGGGAGATGCGTGCAAACAATGAATCAACCAACGCTCGTATCAATGAACTCACACACGAGATGGCCACTATGCGAGCCCGTTTTCCTCCTACCGATCCGGATGCTTGATTTTATGTTTAGCTTTAAAACTTTGAACAAAATGAATATTGTTTCAACATTTTGATTTGTTTGATTTTGTGGATTGTTGGATTTTGGATATATGAATGGTGTGAACTTATATGTTTGGTGTGTTTTATTCATTTTTGCATCATTTACATTATCATTAGCAATATGACCAATTTTGCCATATCACATTATTTATGAATATTGATTTATGAAACTAATGGCTAACCTCTCTTTTGATTGTGATCTTAGCAGCTTAAGCTTATAATTAATAAATCAATTGGCTAAATGATTTTCAAAACCTTGTTTTACAATGTCTTTTTGATTTAACAAAAAGGGGAGAAGAATAAGTGTTAAATGTTTTACATGATAAATTGAAGAAGTGTTAAAAGTAAGGGGGAGTAATAAATTGAAGAAGTGTTAAAGTAAGGGGGAGTAATTTCAAAACTTGATTTCAAAAATCTTAAAATTACTAAAATGTTTTGTTATATCAAAAAGGGGGAGATTGTTGAAACATTTTAATATTTCGATATAACAAATTAAGTTAAATGGATTTTAAGATTTTCCAAATGATTTTCTAAGTATATTCGATATAACTATTCGAATATCAAAACATTACTCCAAATATTTCAAAAATCATTTTTGATCCTTACTTAAGTGTAAAATTAAGTTTTAATCATAAAACAATTTCAAAATAATTTTACAAAGTATTTCGAACCAATTCAAAGCCAAAAATTCCAGATTACTCAGAGGGAACCGATTCCCCCCCCCATAGGAGGAACCGATTCCCCCTGAATGGTTTGGCTCCGAGATTTCCAGAATGCTCGGAGGGAACCGATTCCCCCCAAGGGGGTACCGATTCCCCCCTGTTCAACGGTCGAAATATTTAAATTTTACACTTAGGGAACCGATTCCCTATGAGAGGGAACCGATTCCCCCCACTGTCCAAGCTGTTTTATTAAATGTTTTCACACTAAAACGGCTATAAATATTTTCTCTAATTATCCCCAACGTTCAGAAGTGATTCAAGGTGTATTTAAGCAAGCTTAGAAGCCATTGATCAACAAGAAGAAATATCAAGCAACTAGAATCAAGAGAGAATCAAAGAGAAAGCATCAAACCTCAAGTTTGAGCATTTCAAGCCTATTTTCATTCAATATTCTTTTTGCTTTCAAGAACACTTTCTGTGCTAAATTGTATTCATCTTTGAGTGTTCTTTTCTTTGTTCTAGAATTGTGCAAACATCTTACCTTGTGAGGTTTTCTTATAAGTTTGCAAATTTGTAATCTTCTCTTTGAGAAAAGAGTGTTCTCAAGAGTTGGGGTATACTCTTGAGGGAATTGTAAGGTTATCTCTTTGGCCTCAAAAGAAAGAACAAATTAGTGAATTTGTTGGAAAATCCTTAGTGTGGATAGCTAAGGTAGTGGACGTAGACTTTGTTTGAGAAAGTCGAACCACTGTAAATCGTTGTGCAAATACTTTCAATTCTCTGCAAAAGCTTCCACAAAATTTTTATTGCCAATTCACCCCCTCTTGGCCAATTTCGTCATTCGATTAACTCAACAATACTTAAAAAAAGAAAAATAATGACATTCCCGATAATATACCCTAAAAAATTCACTATCAATAATAAAATATTACTACAAATAACATTCCCGATCAAACCAAACGTGAATTTCATTCCCGAAAATCTCACCTTCCCCGTCGACACGCCCTCTAAATAATAAAGACACACCGGGAGACGGCGATTCTCTTTTTTATCTCTCCTGATGCAGTTTCATTTCATACAACGCTTTGTTGCTTTGCTCTTAACCTTTTTTTCTCCGTAATCCTTCAAAAACCCCTTTTCGATCGAAAACCCATAAATTTTAAATTTCATTCTCTTTCGAAATTATCTGTCCTTTCTATTTGTAGTTTTTTTAATATTTTTTTGAACAAATAAGGAAAAATCCATGTCTGAGGGTAGTGTTTAGGGTTTCTTTGTTGTTGGAAGTTTGTTCCGTGGAGATTTGAATGAGGAGAACATAAATACTTTTGCGAAATCGAAATTGAAGAGCCGACTGACTTCATGGCCACCACGGAGTTGCAGATGAGTCCTCAATTGGAGCAGATCCATGGCGAAATCCGCGATCTTTTCCGTTCTCTGTCGTATGTCCTCTTCTACTTTCCTTTGACTTGTTTATTACTCAAATGAATTAGCAGATTACAAATGAATTAGCCATGTATCGTAATCTGCAATCACAGCTCTTGTTTCAACATACCTAGTGTTTTTGACTTTATTCTTCTTTGGACTAGATTTCGACCTTCTTGTTTCATCTGATAACTGTTTTAAAAACTATGGTGCACTGCTTTTCAGAAATGGGTTTCAAAGGCTGGATAAGATGAAAGATTCAAATAGGCAAAGCAAACAGCTGGAAGAGCTTACTGGAAAGATGAGGGAATGTAAAAGGTATGCCCTATTTTTAGTATATGAGATGTTTGATTTTTTTCTCATTTTACCTTCTTTTAATTCCTAACTTGGATGAGTTTTTTGCAGATTAATCAAGGAGTTTGATCGTGAAATTAAAGATGAGGAAAGCAAAAATCCTCCTGAAGTGAACAAGCAACTCAATGATGAGAAACAGTCTATGGTAAGTTTGTTTCCGAACCTCAAATTTCTTTACTATTGGCGTCAAAAGACATAAGCATATGGTAAGAGTGTTTTAGTAGCCTGGAAGTTTACAAATGTTTATCACATCATAAAATGGGTTAATTGAGGAAATAAGATCTCCCTTGGCTGGGGGAGATAAAATGTGTAATCAAACTGTTTAATTGTGGAACCTCAAATAAGATCTTTTTATATTATTTATAGCTTCTAATATATTGTTGTTGTTTTTGTTGCAGATCAAAGAACTGAATTCGTATGTAGCATTGAGAAAAACGTAAGTTTGACTATCCTAAAGAGAATAATGGTGACTTTAGTTTTTCCATCTGAAGTTCAAATTTTTATTTACAGTATGCCAGTTGAGTTGTGATTTGTTAAGTCTGGGGATTAGCCAAGTCTGAAACTTGGCCTTTTTCCTAATGTAGGAAGAAACCAATTTTTGAGTAGTAGAATTCAGCACATAAAAGCCAATGAGACTGTCCCTTTTTCTTCCTGTAGTTAGATTTTTTTATGTGTGTAACTGCAGGTACATGAATACCCTTGGTAACAAGAAAATTGAACTCTTTGATATGGGAGCTGGAGTCAGTGAACCTACAGCAGATGAAAATGTTAAAGTGGCATCATGTAAGATCTTACTAACCCTTCATTGAGTTGTGATTTATATAGAATTCTTACTTGGTATCAAAGACTCCTAGTTATGAAAATGATGGGTTTGCTCTTATTACATGTTATTTTTTTTCAATAAAATTATATAATCAAATACATTCTAATACAACTTTATTTCATATCAATTTTGATTTTGCTGATCTAGTTGATTTCGGATTTTGTCATTCTATATGCATTTTTATTCAACTATTGCTTAGAAACCGGGATGCAGAGTCTTCTTAGAATGTTGGACAGTTTGGAAACAAAGCCACTATTCATGACTTTGGATGCTTCGGGAAATTTAGTGTAGTCCATGGTCTTTACTGAAAAACTATGAACTTGTAACAACAGAATCTCAGCGTAGAGATTGCCTTTTTTTATCAGGCTATCTTACTACTGCACGACTTTCTCTGCAGCAATGTCTAATCAAGAACTTGTTGATCATGGTATGAAGACAATGGATGAGACTGATCAGGCCATTGAACGCACAAAAAAGGTAAACAGAAACAGCTTTTTGTTCCCTTGTGCAGGCCTCCGCTTCATTGTTGCCATTTTCTTTTCTTTTCTTACCTTTTAGATTCACAGGTTGTCGAACAAACAATTGAAGTGGGAACCCAAACTGCTTCTACTCTAAAAGGCCAAGTAAGTCAGATTATAAGTGGTCTTTTATGATTATTTTATTGAGGTTGTTGTGTTGCGTGCATATGCTGATAGAAAGTTATACAGACTGAACAAATGGGCCGTATTGTAAATGAGCTGGATACAATCCAGTTTTCTATTAAGAAGGCATCCCAGCTGGTGAAGGAGATTGGTAGGCAGGTTAGTTGATTGTTAGCACTTTAGATGCAACATTCGTTCAATTTGACAATTCTTTATGCCATATTAAGTATCTTTCTTCTTCCTCCAGGTGGCCACTGATAAATGCATCATGCTATTTCTTTTTCTTATAGTATGCGGTGTTATAGCCATCATAGTTGTAAAGGTATTCTTTTCCCTTATTGATATCAATTTTGTAGCCTGTTAAACTTACCGACTTATTATGGTGGAAACATGAGGTATTTTTGCCCTAAACATGTTGAACTGCTCTATCATCTATTGTGATGTGATAAGATGGAAGTTTACATTTGTCACATCTAATTACAATTAAATACTTGCAGCAAACTAAGCCACTTAGTAACCGTGTTCGCTTAAAAAAATTTAAGGGCTAGTTTAGTATTACTGTTGATGTTGAAAAGTGCTTTTAATAAGTATCTAGCAGCTGTTTCGACTCCAAATCACTTTGTGAGGAAGTGATTTGGATGGCAAAATCAGTTTGTTTAGCATTGCTTTTGCTGTTGAGAAGTGCTTTTAGTAACCTGAAAGCAATGCTAAACTCATCATGGAGATAGATTCAGACGCATTCTTCACAATGATCGACTTCTACTGCACAAAATTTTGATTTTCTAATTGCAACGTGGAAATTTCAGATTGTGAATCCGAACAACAAAGATATCAGAGATATTCCAGGGTTGGCACCTCCAGCACCTTCAAGGAGATTGTTATATCTAAGGGATCCGCAATAAAAGGTGATCATTTCAAATAAGTGAGTGATTTGTTCTGCTTATATGCTTGGGAGTATTGGGAAGTTGGTGGAGGGATCTAATACTTTTTTCTTTTGCTTTTCTATTTTATATGATTGATTCTTGCCTGAGATGTGCATATCCGGTTGGTGATGTTTGTTGTCGTGTAAATTTTAGTTGTTGAATTATTTGAAAGATTTAACTTTAAAGATTGTTGTAGGGTTAGAAATTAAGAAATCTTTGAAGAGAATTCCACATATTTTTCATGTCCTTGGACTGGGTGACCTCACGTATGAATGTCAAATATTAGTTCATACATGGTGTAACAAATGGACAGGGTCCAAAGAAACATAAAAAGAATTCCAGATCAATTCGAGACCCAACGAAATCTGAATAAACTCTGGAAGGGAAAACCCAGACCAAGAGAACAAACACCGAAACCTAAAAAGAAAAGAACTTGTAGTATATCGATCTATTTGAAATTTTTCATTTTGGTTGAACCAGTCACTAGTTTCAACATTTCTTTGAGGAGGAAGTTGATTGTAATTTTCTAGTATCGGATCAATGAGAATGAATTTAGAGAACTTTTCCGGAGGACAAGTATTCAACATGAGTGATGTCACTTGGCTTAAATCATTTATATTTAACTTCAACCCTTGGGGCTGGCTGTACAGGGTATCTTGGCTTTTGAAAACTAGTTCGATGTTCATCAGAAGAAGTCAACCGAAACAGAGCATCTTGGGGTTTGAAAACTAGTTCGATGTTCATCAGAAGGTGGCGGCCGGAAGGGAGGCATCTTGGTGTTTGAAAACTAGTTCGATATTCATCAGAAGAAGTCGATCGAAAGAGAGGCGAGAAGGAACCTGAAAAAACAACAAAAAAATCATAAACAAAAAAGAACAACCTGAGGGAAGGACAAAGAAAAAGGGGGGAAACGGGGATAGATGTCGGGAAAAAACAACGATAGACGTTGGGAGAAACATATGACCGACGACAGTGTAGATGAACCAAAGCCATAGCTCAATAGAGCTCAGGTTATAACCTAAAGAGAACAAGAGGCCCAAAGCCATAGTTGTTGTTTCTCACTCCGACATATTTCAAATTGATATCACATTTTTTTTTCAATTGTTATAGAATTGATAATTTTACACATTTCTCTAATGTTTATGTTATTTTTCACTAAACAAAATTATATAGAGACCTACCAACTCGACCTAATTGATCCAAAATCAAATCCGATTTTAATTAATTAGGTTTAAATATGTATTTGGTACTTTAATTATACACATTCTTTCAAGTTGGTATAAAAAATTTATTCTTTAATATATAAATTAGATATATATTTTAAATTGGTACCTAAAAATTGTTTATTCTCAAATTGTATTGAACTTTAATTTCATCTACTGTTTTTGTACTCCAATAATTTTCTTTTCACATATTTTAAAGTTTCATCATTGACATATATAATTTTATTTTATCACGTCATTAAAAGTTATTAACATTAATAAATTATTAAAAGTGGATGAAATTAAAATCCAACTGTCAATAGTGTGTTTGATATTCAATTTTAATTCAATTAATAGATTGAATTGAAATTTAGTTCGGTTAATTGATCGGGTAATAAGATATTGGCTCGATTAATGGTTATTTTTTAAAAGTTCAATTGTTGATTAGTTCATTTTAAAATCGGTTAATTAATTAAATTAATTGAAGTGAATATCTATTGAAAGAATATGCTTATTTTATAAATCAATTTAAATCAGCTAGACTTTTATCCACGTAAATGAAAAATATTTAACAATTATAATAATTCAAAAAAATGAAAATTTAAATTTAAATAACTTAAATTAAAAACATATTAAACTTATATAATGTGTTTGTAGTATCTAATTTGAATTAGTAGATTTAATATGAATTATTATAAATATTTTTTTTCTAAACCCAAAATTTGCCTTGAAAATTCTCCAGACCCACCCATCTGAGTCTTAACACGATCCCTGCCGCCAAACAAGCCGCTCACCATCACTCTGTACCTGCCTCGTAAGTCATCTGTTGCCTTCAAGCTTCCGTCAGACCACGAAAGTAAGCTAATTTCCTGAAACCCTAAACTTAAATTGAATGTTAATCCCTATTGCTTGCTACTCGGTCTCATCTCACACACTCTCTCTCTCTCTCTAAGTGGTGTCGGTTTAGGGAAATAGTAGACCTTTATTGCTCCATTGCACTGCTATTTGCTGCCGGGATCCGCCGCTATTGAGGTCTTTAGCGGTGACGGGCAGCGACTTTGCTGTAAAATAAGTTTCGATTGCTTATGAAACTGGTAATTCAATATTCAATTAATTTCTTATTTTTTCCTCCTTTATATGTTAGAATGAGTGCGAAAAGGAAACGTCCGGGTTCGGCGTCCGATTCCGGCGTAACAGAACATGAAAAGACTGTTCATGAAGTAATCCGAAGCAAAAAAGACATGGGTGTGTCGCAATGGGAAATTAAACGATAAATTAACCTTGCCGAAAACATAATCACCAAATGTATTAAGTCACTTGTATCTAAGAGTCTCGTAAAAGAAGTGAAAAGCATCCAAAATCGGGGTAGGAAGCATTACATGTCTGCCGAGTTCGAGCCGTCCAGTGAAATAACCGGTGGGGCATGGTATGTTGAAGGCAGCCTCGATACGGAGTTCATAAATGTCTTGAAAGAGCAGTGTTGGAGGAAGATTTATGGTGTGAAAGTTGCTACTTTGGAAGGGATTGCAGATGCTATTAAGAGGAGCAATGTTTGTCAAATTGAGTTGACTAAACAACAGGTCGAAGAAATTGTGAAGGCTTTGGTTCTGGATAACGAAGTTATGGAAGTGAAAAGTACTGGAACCGGGGAGTTTGCTTCGATTCCAGTCGGGAAAGTTTGCTATAAATGCATTGGTAAGAGAGGTTATGGAGGAGAACCCAAGCTTGGCGCGCTGCCTTCCATTCCTTGTGGAGTTTGTCCGCAGATAAGTCGTTGTACCCCTGATGGAATAATCTCTCCTAACACTTGTGCTTATTACCAGAAATGGCTTGATTTTTAGTTTGATTGCATGCTTTATAGTTTTAGATATTTGATGGACTCGAATGAATGGCCTAAATTCTGCATTCATGAATGTCTCCTATATTCTAAGTTCATATTCTAAACTTATATGCATTGCTCATTTGATTTATTGGTTATCGCTTGTTGTCCACTTGCATGTCCGATTCTTTCTGCGATTGTGAACTGATCCTTGACGAGGAATGGAGCCTGAGGCCGCCTCTTCAATCTCTTTATGTTTTGAAAACCTTAAACAAGTATCGTCTGGTAATACATCATTGATAGTCTTATGAATGGATAAGAACATGCTTAGTACTGCATTGTTTTGGGGTTGCCTAGACTGGTTCTCTTGCAGGTCGAACATCGAAAGTTCCATGGGTGTTTTACATTTGATTCATGGCTTCTGATGGATATATAAGACCACATTAGGGCATGTTAGGTATAGAAAGAATATTTCTGGTGATATTTTATCGTCTCTCCCTCGTCCCTCGGTTAGCCATTTGCTAGTTGCACATAATCATGTTACATGTTCAATGGTACTTCGAATTCTGATGATCCGAATTTGGGAGTTTCTGAGGTAGAATTACAAACCGACCTAGAACCTTTGTTGAGTTGAGTACTTTTTTCTTTTGTTCACTGAGATTAACAGCCCTTTAAGTACAACCGAACCTATAATAGCTTCTTCTACATTGCCGGTTAGAGACGAGCATAATTCGGTTAAAATCTAGTTAACCGAATGAATCGTAGTAATTTGATTTATTCTATTCATTTTCGATTTAGGTCAATCAGTTAGAATATTATTATTAAGTTGGCCAAATCAATCAAATTACTTAAATTGACCTTCATGAATGTTTCAGACCCGCAATTTTATCGATCCTTCTGATCATTTTTGCATCTTTAAATATATCAAATGTTTCAGTCTAAAAGCAAGCAGAAAAGGTAGGTCAAATGTCTAAGGTTTTTCTTCTTGTTCTTTTTAATTCGTATTTAGGCTTAAAGGCTCATTCGTCTCTTAAAGTATTATTTTTACCGTTTTGCCTTTTGAATTATTTGTTGGGACGTTTTGCTCTTATCAAAAGTTACCTCTGTTTTATTGTTCTTTTAAACACTATTGAAAAATTGATCAGAGTTCAACATGTGAAATAAAATGGGTAAATGACATGTTAAGTATTTCAGATTTTGTTTTTGTTTAATTTTGTCTTTTTTTTATAATGTTATTTTTATTTATTATATTAATTCAGTGCAATAAGAATACGATATGTGTCAGCATCTATTAAAGAAAAAATAGGAAAACAAAGATGTCAATCAAAAGAATTGAATACGAGACTCTAACACTCAATTACTAAGTTAAACAAGACAAAATAAATATATAAATTAAATTAGTGTATTATATGTTTATTTGAACACATGTTTAATGACACTAATTAAAAATAAAATAAATACTTTGAAAATTTGAAGTTTGAACGTACCTTTTAGATTAAGGACCACAAAACACATTAATTGTGTAGAAAAGAAGGAAACAAAAGAATGATCAACGACGTACAACAACTCTTTAAGAAGCAAGCAATAGGATTCTAAATCTGTTTGAAAAACCAAGATGCTTCCATTGCCAAACCCAAATAAAATAATTGAGGCAACAAAAGATGATGCCATGTTACTTCATCTTCACGGGCACGGATGCAGCAAGCTGGAAGATCTCAGAACACAGATGGATACCCACTTCCTTTTTTTTTGCTTTTGGATTATTCTATCTTTGTAAGGTGAAAATGGCACACATGTGAATTCAAATTGATATATATATATATTGTTTGTTCATACACAGGCATGAATAAAGTGGCAATAAAATAATCATCAATTCCACCACTGGATGGTCATGATCGATACTTGATAGAAATAACAATAAGAAAAATGAAGCAACATCTCTCTGAGCTGGTAACTGATATCTGAAGCAATCTGGGGGTTTGGCTTAAATGGGATCCAAGTTGAGTTTTTACAATAATCATTCACCTTTACAAGGTAGATCAAAACAATGGATTATCTAGAAAAATTTATATAAATATTAAGAAAGTACATTGGATTATCAAAACAATTTATATTCCTTAGACATCCCCCAGAAACAACCATCATTCCATGTTTCATTATTACAGCAATTATCCCTTTCTATTTCCTATCATCATTGTGGGGTTTAGCCTTGAAATGAATGCTTCTGCAGACTTCGTAATTCCAGCCCCACTTTTTATCTCTGTGGGGACTGTGCTTGATTGCTCAATCATACATACATAAATATGATCATTCATCTTGTATATACCATATTTATGAATATGGCCCCTCTATAAAAAAATGGTGGCTTGGGGGGGGGGGGTCACAAATACGAGGTTAATCAAAGGGCCGGTGGTATTGGCGTCCAGTGTGTTTATTTGACTAATGCATGCAGATATAATATATAAAAACTTAACCTTTATTTCAAAAGAATACTGTAGAAATAACAAAATGAACATCTAAAACAAAAATCAAGGATTTGGAATATATGGTCATAATGAATCAATATAAAAATTTGTGACGGCTGAAGAAAGAGAAGTGAAGAAACGGCTAAGAAAGACAAAGGGTTTCCAGTTGCTTCGTTGTGTTGTGTAAGCTGTTTCTATTTCACTGTTGACGTAGAGGCATGTCTTTCCTCAGTACCTACCTCTGACAACTCGACATCTTCTTCTTGTCAATAATTACCCATATCTCACATGGAAACCCCACAAAAATCCCATATTTTTTGTAGTCCAACACCCCCTTTTCTCGCCTCTCAATATTCTTTCCTCTGGGGTTTACCCATTTCTTCTTCATAAACACCCACACTCCTTAATTCTGCTCATTTATTTTCTTTTTGCCCTTTCCCCCTCATACTACCACTTTTTATTTGTGATGATTTGTCACATGTAGAGTGTTTGTTGGAAATGTGATGCCTGGTATTTGTTTATCATGTGAAAAAAGGTTTTTTTTTTTTGTAGGCAGTGGGCTCTGATTTAAAGAGAAACCCTTTGCTTTCCTTCTAGCTTTCTCTCGGAGGCTGTTTGGGGTTCTTTTATGCAAACTTGATTGTGGTTAGCTCTCTATTTCTTCTTATATTTCTAATTTTGATTTCACTCTGCACATGTTTACTGTGAAATAGATTTGATTGATATTTCTTTTTGGTGATAAACCAATTGATGTATTGAATAAATGCAAAGAATATGTAGCTGTTCTTGATTGTTAGATTGCAGGTTGTGGTTCTAAATTATTTTAGTTAAACATGTTTCAGGCATCTTGGTGTTGGTGAACAATGGCATCTGATCTGAACAAAACCCTGTCCAAAGTATACATTGGTCTGCAATTGTGGCTTCTTATTGTAATTGGCCTAGGGATGGTGTTTGTAGTTATCCTTAGTGTGTCGCTGTGGCTTAGTTTTCGAAATAAATCCCAAAGGGGGAATGCCATGCTTCCTCTAGGCCAAGCGCCTTGCGTGTCGGAGGAAATTAAAGAGATAGGAGTTGATCAAGCTTCCGCGAACAATGGTGGGGTGAACACCCTTAATGAGAAGTTCAGTCACAGAGATTCGGAGAAGGTTTCGTTTAATGTAGATAATGGAAATCATAGCAGCCGGTCGGGTTCTTTTAATAATCATATGGAGAAAGATGTTAAAGGGTCTCAACCTTCTTTGGATCCTTTGACTGCTCCTTCGCCTTTGTCTGGCCTGCCTGAAACTTCACGACTAGGCTGGGGTCATTGGTTCACACTCAGAGACCTACACCTTGCAACGAACCGGTTTTCGAGGGATAATATTATTGGTGATGGTGGATATGGAGTTGTTTATAGAGGCAATCTGATTAACGGGACACCCGTAGCTGTCAAAAAGCTTCTTAACAATACGTATGTTGCAGTGAAGATCAATCCTTTTGTTTATGTTATGCTGTCCGCAGATTGTAGCGTTGGCTGATAATGTTTCTATGTTTTCTTTAGGGGACAAGCTGACAAGGATTTCCGGGTGGAAGTTGAAGCCGTTGGTCACGTGCGGCATAAAAACTTAGTTCGACTTCTTGGATACTGCATCGAGGGCACACAAAGGTACCATGTTGTTCTATGTACTCCCTAGATTTCAGTATTTCCGCAAGCATTGTTATGTCTATTATCAGTGTGAGTATAATACGTGGAATAGAAAGAAAACCGATATTTACTGTTGTTTTCTAAATTTTCTACTATAAAATCCAGGTTATTGGTTTATGAATATGTCAATAACAGCAATTTGGAGCAATGGCTCCGAGGGGATATGTCTCACAAGGGATATCTTACCTGGGAGGCTGCATAAAGATCATTCTCGGCACTGCCAAAGCGTAAGTCGGCCTTAACTAAAATCTCGGTTGTTAATGCTTAACTTGGTTTTAACCTTTAATTGTTACTAAAAACTAAATGTTGCAGGCTGGCATATTTACACGAGGCGATTGAACCAAAAGTCGTGCATAGAGACATAAAATCAAGTAATATACTGATTGATGACAACTTCGATGCGAAGATATCTGATTTCGGTCTGGCCAAACTGCTCGGTGACGGGAAGAGTTATATCACTACGAGAGTTATGGGTACCTTTGGGTGAGAATAATGCCCTTCCTCTATGATCAACTGTTACTAGATAATTTGTTCTCCGGTTTATTTTATCCTTGTTTTTTACTTTTTATTTTTACTTCGTGTAAGGAGTTATATCATTCAAGAAGCTAAAGAAGTCGTTGGTTAATGTCATCTTGGTCTCCTGTTTGCATGGTCTTTCAGTTATGTTGCTCCAGAATATGCTAACTCTGGCCTCTTGAACGAGAAGAGTGATGTTTACAGTTTTGGTGTTGTTCTCCTAGAAGCAATTACCGGAAGATGCCCGATAGATTATGGTCGTCCCCAGCCTGAGGTACTTAACGATACTTCTTTATCAGTATAGGCTTCAAAAAGACTTGGTATAGCATTTTTTACATGACTGATTGTACCGTGAAATCTCAGGTAAATATGGTCGAGTGGTTAAAGATGATGGTTCAACTCAGACATTCGGAGGAAGTAGTTGACCCTAACATTGAGACTAGACCATCAACAAGTGCACTTAAACGGGCTCTTTTGACTGCTTTGAGATGTGTTGATCCTGATGCCGAAAAAAGACCAAAGATGAGTCAGGTTGTTCGCATGCTTGAAGCAGAGGAGTATCCTATTCCTCGAGAGGTTTGGTTGTGATACTTCACACTAATCTGTTCATCAGAATTACTTTGCGATGTCACTTTATCTGTAAACCAAAGAAAAAATTGTGGAAGTTGCATTTTAGTACACCAGACTAGCTCGCTTTTAGATAAATTGTCGTATAGGAGAATGTCTAGTTTACGGTTCAAACTATACCTTGGCTCACTCCTAATATGTATCGTTGACGGAATTTTCAGGATAGAAGACGCAGAAGGAATCAGTCAGTTAATTCAAATGCTGATACACAGAAGAAAAACTCCGATGCTGATCAGAGTGATGATCCAGATTCGAGGTTGGGGAGCAGAATGCAACATCAGCCGTAGACTACGGAACAAAATGGGTTTTAGAGGCCTAGAACAAGGGAAACTGCCACCATTGCATTCGTTTCTTTTCCGACACCTTCAGATGGCCCTTTAGTTGAGATTTCCATCACATGCAGGAAACTGAGGGATTTTTCTTTTCTTTTGTGGAGCTTTGAATTAGATATCTTCAAGGTCATTGCCACTAGATTTTCTGTACATGTCCATATGGATTCTATATAATTTCAGCCCATTATTCGGATTAGGCGTTTCAGTTCGATATTATGAATTCTTGTTGCTGAGATGGAGAAGAATGAAAAGAGTAAGCATAGCTGAAAATTACTACAAAAAATGCTTCTGTTTGTTTGTGTGGCTGTTGCATAAAGTACCATTATTGGTTCTGGTCCAAACCTAAGCTTAGCTGTTGTTTCTGCTAAATCTGTCAACTTCCGATACTTGGGTGAAAAGAAATGTCCGTTTGTTTATTTTTCAGGTTGTTCGTATACTGCCGCAGAAGTTACCTTAACAGGACATTTCATTTACTGCTGCAGGAGTTACCTTAACAGGTATGTAATGTTGATTTTTGGCATCGCATTCCATGTGCCGGAGGAGGGGCAAAAGTAAGTGTTCCCACGCGTCGTCATCGGCATCTTTACACATGGTTTTAAGTCCAACGATAATGACACCACAGTTTCCAAACTTGTCCAATCCGCAACACTTTCCTCAAGTGTAACAATCTTATTCTTTGGAATGAAAGGAAGATCCAATGTAAAAATACAGACAGACAATACGTTAAAAAACACTTTTCTGCACGGCACCTATCTACAAAACCAATCGTGATGCCAGATTTTTTCGACTTCGACTGGTCTCGATATGATATCTTGTCTTTCATCGCAAACGCCGCCTGTCACTTTGGGCGTGGGAAGTTGTGGGGCGACTTGGGTTCAAAAGAGGCTGAAGAGCTTTCACCACGATGCTCATATTAGGTCGAAAATCGGCTTCGAATTGAACACACAACGCAGCTACAGCAGCCAGCTGTTATCGGAACAAAAACAGACGTTTGTTAGGGCCAACGCTTTGAAGCAACGTTATCTCTATCAAAATTCAACAATTACCTTTGCAAGTGATTTGGGAGGGTATTGTCCGTTTAGTCTGCCATCAACACACTGCTTCACCTTGTCTTCACTTAGTTTCGGGGTTGCCTAATGCAGTCAGCAAATGAAAATATACACATGGAGATCCTATATTATTATGAAGATACGGTGAATAGGAATTTATCGAATAGTAATCGTACCCATGTCACGAGACTCTGCTGTCCGCGTGGCAGCGTATGATCAACTGGTTTACGTCCGGTTAAGAGCTCCAGAAGGATGACACCGAAGCTGTAGACGTCGCTCTTCGAACTAAGAGTTCCCGTCATTGCAAATCTACCATTCAGTGTCACAAGTAGGAGTTAATCACTGTTATACTCAACTATCATGTGGTTGGTTTATATATTTGGCAAAGGGCAGCTCAAAGAGATGAGAGCACATGTAGATTACATATGCCAACATACTTTCATTTCTTGTTGGTTACTTTGGTTGAATTGATCGAGTACTCGAATTCACCAAGATGCAAGATCGGTTAAACCGTTAGTAATTTGTCGGAAAAAACTTCAAAACAGAAAGAGGTGAAGGAACAACTAACTCTGGAGCATGATAACCAAATGTTCCAAGAACTCGTGTGGAATGGAGACAAGCGGTCGCATCAGGGCTTGATTTGACAAATCGAAATCAGCAATCTTGGCAACATCGTCATCAAAAAGAAGTAAATTGCAGGACTTAATATCACGGTGGACTACTCGAGGACGTGTCTTTTCGTGCAAGTATTCAAGGCCTTTTGCTGCCTCAACTGCAATTTTAACTCTCTGTGTCCATGATAGAAATGGACCTGGCTGTGCTCCTTTCACACCTTTCTTCCCTGTATATGTTCATAAACTGAATAATTGCATTAGTCCACTATGCAACCGAGGAAAGGTCACGTGATACACACAGACACTCACATATTGCTTACCGTGAAGCACGTCATGCAGAGATCCATTAGGAGCATACTCATACGCCAAGAAACGGTGGGATCCATCGATGCAGTAACCGAGAAGCTCAACAACGTTCTCGTGTTTCAATCTTGATACCATGGAGACTTGTTAGTTAAGTTATTCGGAATAGCAAAGTCATGCACTCTGCAATAAATGTCAGCATCGTTTCATGCCATGAAATTTGTTTAGGGAAGGTCTAACCTGTGCTAGAAAATCTTGTTCCGGTTGCTTACTGGAGTCCAACTTTTTTATGGCAGCAGCCTTCCCACTCTTTAGAATGCTGTAGTATATGCTTCCGTAAGACCCCTCTCCGATCAACGATTTGTTACCAAAATTATCGGTCATTTCCTTCAGCTCGTCCACCGACATTGCAGGGACGGTAATAGGTTGAATGATAACAGGAGGCTGTGGATCCCTTGGAACACCTGCTGCCCTTTCTTGATATCCATATCCTCCAATATTGCCTACACACACATATGTGTTGCTAATTTAAGCGTATTTACGTATGAAACTTTACATAGAGATGAGATACTGTATAATTACTCGCAGGGTTATTCGCCATGAATGGTCCGGTTTTAGAAGCTTTATGTGTGTCATCTTCTTCACAACAGCTAAAGCAACTCATGTTTCTTTGCTTTTCCTGCTAGTTAGCATATAGGCTTTAAGAAATGAAATATAGACACACAGGAAGGATCAAACATATGATCATCTCAAAGATCATTACGTATATATTTAAATACCGACGTCTTCGTCAACTAGCATTGTTATCGAT